GCGAGATTTCACAGCAGGGCTGCTGCCCCGGGGGATTTACGGGCAGGGCCTGAAAGGAGCCCGGGGCTGCTCCGGGATGGGGGTCCCGCCTCCGAGGGGCTTTTGGGACACGGGAACGGGACCGAGCCCGGCGGCAGCGTGACCCCGCGGCCGCGGCACAAACCCGGGGCTTGGGGGCTCCCCAAAGCCCCTCAAATATGGGGTTCCCCAAAGCCCCGCAGATTTTGGGGCTTCCCAAAGCCCCGCAGATTTTGGGGTTCCCCAAATTCCTGTAGCTTTTGGGGTTCCCAAAGCCCCACAGATTTTGGGGTATTCCAAATTCCTACAGCTCTTGGAGTTTGCTAAAGCCCCTCAGATTTTAGGGTTTCCTAAAGCTCCTCAGCTTTAGGATTTCCTAAAACCCCACAGACTTCGGGGTTTCCCAAAGCCCCTCATATTTTGGGGCTCCCAAAGCCTCGCAGATTTTGGGGTGCCCCAAATTCCTGCAGCTTTTGGGGTTCCCCAAAGCCCCTCAGATTTTGGGGTTCCTCAAATTCCCTCAGCTTTTGGGGCTCCCAAAGCCTCGCAGATTTTGGGGTGCCCCAAATTCCCTCAGATTTTGGGGTTCCCCAAAGCCCCTCAGATTTGGGGTTTCCCTAAATGGGGGTCCCTCAAGAGCCGGGGGGGCTCCTGACCCCTCCAGCCCGGTTAAACCGGGGGGGTCCCGGCGAACCGGAGCTCACCGGGGGCGCTGGGGGCTTCTCCCCCCGGACCCCCCAGCAGCATTTCCTCCGGGGGGGAGGGAGAACAGAGGGTAAATAATGGGAGTGGGGCAGAATGGGGGTCCCCCGAGAGTTCGGGGGGTTCAACCGGGGGGTCCCGGCCACCACCGGGAGCGGCGGCGCGGGAAGGCGGCAGCCCCGCGGGCGGTGCGGCGGGGCGGGGTTTTCCCATGGAGCCGGGGGCGCCCCGGCACGTGCTCCAACGGGAAAACGGGAGGGGGGGGTGGATGGAGGAATGGGAACGGGAACGGGAATGGGAACGGGGGGG